TCTAGTTTCACACTATCTAACTTAAAAAGAGTTCTCCGATATAAAATTTGTGAGTTATTTGACAAAATCCAACAAATGCCCCGAATTTTCTATTTATTGCTGAATAATGAAATATCAAATTCAAAGTCGTTTTATTCAAAACTTTTATACTGGACTGTATATAACTGTTTTCATGGAAATATAGTAAATTTTATGTAGTTTCACCCTATCTAACTAAAAAGAGTGCTTTCATAAAAAATGTGCGACTTATTCGACAAAAAATGTCCCGAATTTTCTATTTATTGCTAAATAATGAAGGATTATATGAATTTTTTTATTTTGGGGGTTTCGATTTGTCATAAAAAATTGCAAAAAAAATTACCTATTGTTTTACCCTGCTCAGTGACCATTTTAGTGGTGCAATTCACACAACAGTTCACAAATTTATAAGTCTGTTCATAAATGGTCCTGGTGGCCATGGACGCCTTTTTAAAGCCTTCAGTAGATGTTATCCTTTTTATTTTGGCATCATGGTTGGCCATGAATCTGGCCAAAGCACGAATCAGCTGGGCTTTCACGTTTGGCATACTTCAAAATATCTGATAAAAAAAAATTATAACTAATTTTTCATAAGGGACTGCAATTCCAAAATTTGTTATCCATACCAGTTACTCGGATTTTTCTTCCAATTTTCGCAGGTTTGTTACAATATTTGGGCTTAAATTTGGTTGTCACCTGAATCATAACCTTTTAGTACTTTTAAATTTTTAGTATCGATTCTAAACGATTTTTACATTATTTGTAATATATATTTGTTAAGTTGAACGTACTTGTGACATTGACTGATTGTGATATGCCAAAATGTATTTGGCACGGATCATTTGTTTCTAGAATTTTAAATTGAGATTTTTTTTTTGGAATAAAGGTTAGTTTTTTATATCTTTATTTCTTTCACATTAAGTCAAATTTGTTTTTACAAAAAATTGAAAGTTTTTAATCTATGGTTTTACAAAATAATATACAATTTGTAAACACTGTTTGTGAAAATTTTTTCTATGAGTTGTAAGTCATTTTGGTACTTTTTTAAGTGCAATATACATTATTTTTTTGGTGGAATTGTTAATGTTTTTGGCGCTTTAGTGGTGAAATATCCCTTTTGGTTTAAATTTTTATATTTTATTTATCTGTCAAAAAAATAAAAATAAAGTGACTTTATTTTTAAACCTAATTTTTGAACCTTGCCGAAACTTTTATTTTACATTTTATTTTTTCTTCTTGGTTTTTGTAGTTATATACCTGTCAAGGTATTGACTAACTGATTCTTTAGGTATTTTTTTATCTTATCTTTTCCCGTAGTCACTGATAATTCGGCTTGGGCAAGCAAAATTGTCTAAAATAAAAGCATAATACTTGACGTGGATGCTATAGCATTCATTGTATATAACCATTAAAATATGATAATCCTACTGCCCTTTTATAAACGGTGTTTATTCAAATTTCTGGTATCATAACCAATTTGAAAATAAAATGACTTCAATTTTTTGTACTTGTGTAAAATTTAAGTATAATACTTGTCGTGGATGTAATAGCATTCCTTGTATATAATGATTAAAATATTTTAATCTGTCTACTTTTATAAACGGTTCTTTTATAATACTTCACGTGGATGCTATAGCATTCATTGTATATAACGATCAAAATATGATAATCTGACTGCTCTTATATACAGTGTTTAATCAAATTTCTGATATCACAATCAATTCAAAAACAAAATTAAAAATTTAAAATTTTTGAACCTTGCTGAAACTTTCACTGTCTGCGAACGTGTTAAAATTAAATCTTGTTTGTAGTTCTACAAATATTAGATGTCTTGGATAACATTCTAGTTTTATTTTAACAGATTTTATGATACATGTGTATTCTGAATTTACTGTGTATTCTGAATATCAGTTCCTAAGATTTTACACCATTTGGCAGAGTATGTCTCACGATTTTTTTGATTTTTACAAAAATCTGTGATTTTCATTTTGTGCAGTGCATGACCCAAGAATTTTTTAGATTGAATAAAATTTATGTTTGGTTAGGAAAACATAAATCCATTAAATACATGTACTGAGTATAGAGTTTGCTATGTAAAATTGAAAAAAAAATGTATGAACTTTAGAACAAAAATAATGGATGTCTTTTTTCTCCACCTAGTATTTATTCTGTCTGCAACAAAATGTTGATAAGTTCTTACCAATTTATTCAAATAAGAGTTAATTGTCAACCAATTTAGAGAATATTGGAAAATTATATCAAAATCTATATAAATTCATATGTCCAAAGGTTCAGATTGGTTATGAGAAAAAAAAAAACATATGTATATGATTATATAACCTACAAGACTACTTTTGATCCTTTTTTTCCTCCGGATTGTCTTCTTATAATTCGATGTCACAAAGTACAATGGAAACAAAACTAAGTCAGCAGATACAGCAATTAAATCTGCATCATGTAACTTCCGACTTTCATGAAGAAAATTTATGGCTGGTGAACTAATTAGTGTTTCGTGTATCACTGGATAGATGCAGCTCATTAAATTCATGAAACTTTGGCTTAATGAACCAACAGCCACAAGTGTCAAATGGACAACATACGTTCACACTGTAGCATAATTCATGTAAAATTCACACAAGAATAACGTTCTGGTTTAATTAAAATTTATTATTAATTTTTAGTGCATTGCCTGGAGGCGATTTTAAGAGTTCCTAAGACTTTTTTACATCTCTTGCTAATACAGTTTTTGTTGCTTTACTTCAGTTTACCGCCTGATCTGTGATTTTGTTTTAAGATCAAGTTTTCTCTCCTGAAGTTCCCAATAATCATGCAATTTTTTGCAAGTCACAGTTTTACCTTGCTAATGCAATTTTTGATGCTTTACTTTGGAAACTTCAGTATACCACTTGATCTATGTCTTTGTTTCAAGATCTTTGAGTTTTCTCTTCTGAAATATCGAAACTGAAGTTCTTAATAATCATATAATTTTTTGCAATTCACAGTTTCATCTTGATAATACATTTTTTGATGCTTTACTTTGGGAACTTGAGTTTACCACCTGATCTAAGTCATTGTTTTAAGATCTTCTCGTTTTCTCTTCTGAAGTTCCTATTAATCATACAATTTTTTTGCAAGTCACAGTTTCATCTTGCTAATGCAGTTTTTGATGCTTTACTTTAGAGTACCACCTGATCTATGTCTCTGTATTAAGATCTTTGAGTTTTTTTCTTTTGAAGTTCTTAATATACTGCTTTTTTGTCACAGATATTTGAATCCTTGTACTTTATTTTCTATGGAGTTCTTGTATTTCTATCTTCTATGGAGAAGACACTTTTCCCAAGGAGTCCAATGCCTTGTACAAAATATTGCAGAATTTTTTAGCAACATGCCCTCATATATTGATTTGCCTCTGTATATTATGAATGACAATATGTAATGTTAAGACCAAAAATAGAGTTTACCCATTGGTATCCTTTTTGTGTATTTACCATTTTATCTATCATTCATGTCAGGAAACCAAGATTTAATTTGCTCGTCAACACCATCTTTTTTTCTTAAAATTTCTTTGGATCTGGTGACTAAATGTAGCTTTTTGTCAATTTCTTCAACAAAACAAGTTTTTGGAGCCAATTCTTGTTGCAGGTATCTAATAGTGTAAGTTGGTACACACAGCTGTTTGATTCATCATTTTGCACATAAAACCAAGGGGCACAAACCCAGCAACTCATACGATTATAGACCCTTAAAATAACATTATACTTTATAAAAGAATTGGCTATTTAAATTGGTCGCCAATTTAAATTTGGTAAACAAAAGTTTGTCGCTTTGCGTTCCAGTTTTTAGGACACCAAAAAAGATTGGAGACACATGTATTTAAGAATTTTTAATTTTACTATAATTAGAAGATACGAGATAAATCTTTACATACGCCCTTACCTCTGGTCCCTTTTTCTGCTCTTACCTCTGGTCCCCACGGAAACCGCCGTTAGACATTACTTCGTGGGGGGAGGATGTAGAATGTTATAATTCTTACCCTGATTTTATACTTAGCTCTTAATTGAGCGAAGTCCCATTCGACCTTTCTCTTTCCGTTCGAAAGATATTGGTTAGGAATCGTGCTGATTAGTTTTAAGTGAAAATCTACCGTTTTTGGTAGAGCTAGTTTTTGGTAAAGATCGGCCGAGCCTGTTTTTGAATTTAGTGTTAAAAACAATTCGACGATTTTTATTATTTTTTTTTATGGTAGATACCACAGTCTTATAGATCATACTAAAATATTAGAGCCCTACGACAACTCGTTTAATTTTAAAATTTTGTCAAAATTTGCAAAAATTAGTATCGTTTTTTTGGAATTTGTCAAAATTAGACTTTTCATCGACGTTTTCTCAAAAACACCTGAACCGATTTCAGAAATTTTAAAGCCATTTGATGTATCTCGATGACTATCGTTTGTCAGTTTTGTGCTACGATCTGCCGAGCCGTTTCTTTGTAATTTGGGAAAAAGTGATAAACTTTTCGTCCACATTTAAGCTCATACTACCGAATCGATTTTAAAATTTAAATCAAAAACTGTTTTAAAGACATTAGTTGGTAATGATACAAATTAGTTTTAGGTAAAAATCTACCGAGCCGTTAACTTGTAATTAACTGTCGAAAAAAAAAATTCAGCCGATTTTATGGAACTTTCTTTTTGCGATATATATTATGGTCTTATAGAACTTACTGAAATATAATAATACGGCCTTACGACAGGTAGTTTAGTTAGTTAAAGTTTGAGATTTTTTTTTGACTCAGTTTTATTTAGCAATCAGAAATACATAAAGATTCCTATGAGCTAAAATGACAATATTTATGAGTGATGCCTAAGAAGAACTCCAATGAGAACTTCTCAGTTTTACAATTAATATGATATATTAGACCTATCTAAGACTAAGTCTAAGGGCCATTGTCGTTTCAACCTCCTAATGCCAAAAGGTTGAGTAATGTCAACTATAGAAGGGTTCAAATGTGAGTCCAGTTTGCGCTTATATTTTTCCTTAACTTCTTTAAACGTTAATTGTACCGTTTTCATGTTGAGGTCGCTGTGAATGGTTTCATTTGTCACGTACCACGGAGAATTAAGAATTGTACGTGAAATTTTTGATTGAGTTCTCTGCATTATAGCTACATTAGATTTGTAAGCACATCCCCAGAGCTCAATTCCGTAGGTCCAGATTGGTTTAATAATCGATTTATATAGCAGCAACTTATTTTCGACAGAGAGCTTCGACTTTTTACGTAGTAGCCAATCAAATTCTTTCATTTTGATCATTATTTGCTGCTTTTTTGTTCTTATATGGCTTTTCCAAGTAAGTCTGCTATCTAAATGGAGACCAAGATATTTCACTATGTTCTGTTTCGGAATCTGGACGACAAACGCAAGAACTTATCAATAAACTACAAATGTGGCTTGCTAAATGGAAGATTTGCATAAATGAAACCAAATCAGTTCATATCACATTTACCCTGAGAGAGGGTACGTGTCCTCCAATTTATTTAAATAACGTCCAGTTTGAGAAAATGAGTAGTTTTTTTTTGACGTTTGTTAAAATAAAATTAAACGATTTACTTGGTATAACGAGTACTTGTTCTTAATGAACATACTATATCATTAAAGTCCTACGGAAACTGGTTGAATTATAAAAATTGTTGATTTTTGAAAATTTGCTTTTAGAAAATACTCCGTTCGATCGTTTTCAATTATGTGTAATAAATCCACTCGGGATACTTTTAATCACTCATAAATTATTTTTTACTGGTTAAGTCGATTATTTACACATATCGGGAAGTTCATGTAACTTGCCTCAAGGCAAAATACCAATACCAACTAATTTTCTGATTCATTTATCAGTATAACTTACAATGGGATTTTTTCCACAATATTGAATGAATCCATCACTCGATTACTTGAAATGAAATCGCGAATGCACAATCTACCATTTTATTGATTATTGTTCCGCATGAAAGAGAAAATATCTCTAAATAAATTCACAAAGCAATCGAGTCGCATGTTGTTCAAAGAGTGAAATTTCTAATTACTTCTGATAATGGTTTATTATTGCAAAGTCAATCTTTTGGACACGAAGACACTTGATTCAGGTCACACGATTTTTAAGGAATAATTAAAGGTAAATAAATAAATCTATAAGATCAACAAACTGATGTCTTCTGATCACGCGAAGATGTTTTGATCTTAAGCAAACCTGGTGCATGTAAAAATATTTTATAGAGTCTGTTAACTGTTGACCAAGATAATTATATTTGGTCTTGTATCTTTTCACCAAAGGTTAATGCAAATAAATCAGGATTTTAAATTATTAAATCAGAAAACAAAGATTGGTGATAATTGTAACTGTAAAGATACTAAATGCTCTCAAACTGAGGATCAGATTCAATTTTCTAGACAATTTAATTTCCTAATGAGTATTTTGAACCCTGTGTTTTGTCTAACAATAGCCATCCAAAATAGTCAATACAAAAATACATATCAAAGTTTTGATACAAATCCAACTATTTTTTCCTAAATTTTTCATTCTCCTTTTCATTAAATCCGACTTGGCAGCAAACTACATAAACAATATTTATTTTTTTCTTAGACCGTTTTGCTGTCGTAATTAATTATGAAATATTTCTAACTGGCAAAATGCTTTTTGATTGACAGCGTTCTCTTTATTTAGATTTATGACTTTTGGGACGTAACAAGATCTCTGGACATAAAATGTCGTGTTGAAGTTATTTTGAAATTAGTTTTATAAATTTGATGGTTTTAAATCGCCCACGAAATTGTTTATGTAATTTAATATTTTTAACTTTGGTTGAAATTTGTAAATGTCGAGACAGTATTTATTGTTTATTATGAGGTTCGAAAGTAATTTTAGTTTTTCCTAATATTTTTTTTATATTGAATAGTATATTTTTAGCGAATTTGAAAAAGTTCAATCGTTGCCTTTTTTTAACTTTTTTAATGATAAGTCAATTATAAGTCAGTCAGGAAGTAATAATAAATCAGATAATAGGTAAATTATTCAGCCGATTGGCGTATATATATATATATATATATATTATATATATATATATATATATATATATATATATATATAAATAAATAAATAATAGGTGAATTAGTCAGGAGTCTTAATCTAGTCATGTGTTCTTAGAATTCTTAGAAGGAGCTATCAGTGGGTAGTTATCCTTCTCACGCCATTTTCCATAATTGTCAAAAATTTTAGCCTAATGTACATTGTATAGATTGCTATGAAAAATAAACAAAAAAAAAAAAAGTCATGTGTAGTTGGAGATCAATCAGAAAGTTTTGATAATCGGAAATCCGAATAATTTTAGGTTAAAAGACGATAAAACTTGGCCTATTAATATTATAGGCTGGTTAAAGTGTTAATATCCGAAGCAATATCAGCATTATCATTTCTTGCAACTTTTTTGTTACAAATACTTTTTTTTTGTTTAAAATTAGTAAAAGAAATTGCCAATAAAATACATTGCATTTAAATTAGAACAAATTGATGATTGGCAATTTTTTGTCACAATTTCAAAAATTGCAAATTTTGAATTCTTTTTTATTTGGTCGGTTATTTACACTTACCGGAAAGATTATGCAACATGCCTTAAGACAAAAAACATTAATTTGTGTAAGTTAACACCTTGAAACTTTTATTTATAATTGAATTAAAATAGAGCTATTTAAACAGATAATATTTTTTTTGAAGAACGATTCAAACATGTAGTCCAGTTTTAATCATTGCAAGATTACTGAATTTTTATTTTAATTATCTGATACTTAAGTTTCAGTCCAAATTTGGACTAACTCATATTTCATACATAGAATCAGAATTTGTAAATTTTAAATTTGTAAACTTCGTAAATTTAAATTGTTTTTATAACGCACGCATATTTTAGTGGACAATTTTAATGGTTATTACCACCAAATAAAATGTATCCTTTTGAAAAAAATTATATCAAAATTACAATATTAAGATTTAGTATTAATTTAGTATGAAAAAAACAACTTTTATTAGTTATAAATCTAAATTATATTAGCTTAACACATGGTTATTCAATATTATTTAAATAATACGATTAAATGCATACTACATCCAAATGTTATGTTTTTAGCATGTTCATTAAAAAAAAAAAAGTAGTGGCTTCGCGTCTTGAGGCAAATTGCTGGAACTTCCCGTACCGTAACGAAATATATGAGGAATCAAATAGATCATATAAATACTGTAACTTTATCTAATATTTATAATAATTATATAAATTGAATTACAAAGTTAAAATTATTTAAAGTATATAAGTGAGCTTTAGAACTTTAGCCAGAATAAAATTGAGATTTGCATTATTTTCGATATACAAAAAAAAATGAATTGACATTTTTTGAATCATTCTAATCCGATGCTTAATTCTCTCAAACTGCCATTTTTACAAATTTAGTTCGGTATCTCCGAAACGGCTGGACCAACATTTGCCAAAAACTAATCACCACTTTTCCCAATCATTACAAATTGACTGTTTTTTGGATCGTGCAAATCGGTTGATCCGTTCTCCTAAAAACTGACTTTTTAGCACCTTTTGCTCCATATCTCCAAAGCCACTGGACTTGCCTTTGCCAAAAACTAAAAAGCACATCTCTTTATCAATAGGAATCGAATGTTTTTGTAAACTATTCAAATCGGTTGACCCATGCGCCTGAAATCGTGGGCGAAAAATTGTCTCCACACTTGTACACACATACACATGCTTACACATACACACACACACACATACACACACACCCATTTTATCAGCGGTATACCAAAATGTTCAGAAACCTCTAAAGTATTTTCTCTAAAGGGCCGGTTTTAGCCTGTTTCGTTTCGTTTAAAAAAAATACAATTTTTCCTCAATCTGATGAATTTGGCTATATTTGTTTTTTTTTCAGTGTTTGATTGAAAACCGGTATTAACTACTTAAAACCAGCTGTCGAAATCCAAAATTTTCTCCTTTTAAAAACCGACAAACTTAGCACTGACATAGTGCCCATCCAATATATCACTCCAAAACAAATTTGTTTTAGCATCAACCAATTAAAATAGTTGTCCCAACCAATTCGTTACCGATTCCATTAGGATTTAGGTTAGGTTAGGTCATAATAACCAAATCAGTGTCACCAACCAAAGTTAATAATCTTAAATCATCACCCATTACCCACGTGTTCCGAGTGTTAACCTATGCAATGGGTTCGAAAACAAACCCATTGCGTGCGACAGAGTAGAGTCAGAGTCTCTCTACTTTACTCTACTCTACTCTAGAGTTGTACAATGCGCGCGCATCCTAAGGCGTCGGGTTACCAGATCCAAAAATGGCTACAGAGCTCGAATTATATTCGCTCTTTCTAGTTTTATTTCAATGAATAGCCTCTAACTAAGTTTAATGGTGTGCGTTGAAGAGAATCGGTTTATTATAAACTCATTTGTGTACATACACCCACATGGGCATTTTGGATTTGAAAAAGAATCGGTGGTAATTAGGTCGAAAACAATGTCGAACAAAAAAAATTGATGTACATACGATGTTAATTACATGGACTCCATATGTGTGAATATTGTATGTTTGCAATATTTTGGACCTACATCACAAAAATACTGTTTTCTCTGAAGCATTCTCGGCCACACCTTTAATATGTAACGTTCGAATTTAAATATGTTGCTTTAAAATTGTGGTACAAAATAAAATATCATAATATTAATTAAAAACTCCGAATTAATATGTCATAATTTATCATACAATATTTATTTTTTATATAGTTTGCTCATATTATTATTGCTAACTCATTCTATTAAACTGAAACACTTCTTACTGAACGTTTTATCTTATTGTTAGTCTCTATAGAAACAAGCATTACTTTAATATATATTATTCGAACTTTAATATGATTCTCCAAAAGAATCTATATGAAAATCAATTGAAATCAGACATGATTAAGACAAGTGATAAACTCATAATAAATATTACAAAAAGCATTGTTAATGTAATGTGCTTTTCAAAAAGCATTTTCAATGTAATGTGCTTTTCACATTTAGTTCACTCGCAGAATTATCACCTCATTTAAATTATTAAATCGTCTTAAATTTCAGTATTTTATGACTCACAATATGAGATTCTATTTGTAGGGATTCCTCCAATTATTGCATGTACTCTCTTGCAAAATTTGGCGCTATTTCATAACTAAAAATGCCTTGTTTTTCAAGCATTGCATAGACACACCTTTAATAAGTTGCTATAATTATAATTTTAATATATTGCTCTAAAATAAAATATACAAAATTAAGTCCTAAAATCGAGAGAACTCGGAATCAATGTGCTAAAAAACATTTATAGTAATTTTTATTTTATTTGGGGTTCACTCACATAGTAGTTCTTCATTCATTTTATGGAATCAAATCACTAAATTTGATTCCAGTACTTTAAGAGTTTTAAAATATCAGACAATTAAAAGCAAAAAATATTAAAAGTTTAATGCATCGTGCAATCTGTCGAACTTCAGATTTTTTATTCATTATGTAAAAATATATCACAAAGTCAAGTAAAAAAGACAGAATCAATATGCGAAAAATAGCACCTTATAATGTAATGTTTATTTTGTATGTGGGTTTATTCATATAATTAATATAATAATTCATATAAATGATATAATTAATTCAAATATCAATGTTTTTTGGTCTTAGACAATGTAGGGATGCAAAACATATTTAAAATTTGTTGCATTGTGCTATTCATTAAGTAAAAAAATATATCTCAAATTAAATTGAGAAAGTCAGAATCTATGTTACCAAAAAATAAATCATTTTTAATGCTAGTTTCAATATGTGCTTTTTGATATTGTTATTATTATCTCATTTTAAGGAACTAAATCACCATTTTCATTGTTTTTTTGTCTTAGAAAATATAGTGAAGTCAAAGGTATTCAAAGTTGTGAATATAGGATATTTCATTCAAAAAAACACTTACATTTGATATTTACAATTTTATTTATACTGATTGTGAGAAATATCCTAATTCCCATTGCATTTACTAATATATAACTCACAAAGTAATAATTAAGATAGAGCATTTAGTATTGAAACTTGTTT